CAATACTGAGAAATTACAGTCAGGACACTGGGGGACGGCTCGGGCTCAAGGCATCCAGAGGACCCACATCACGTGACCCCTGGGACTCGAGGGTCAGGAGAGTTATCTTCTGACCTCCACAGGCATGCTCAGGCATGGATGTGCCCTCACACACGTGGCACATCGACTCACCAAATCACAGCCAGTCTTTGGCAGAAGGGGACTGAGAAGCTGTGGATACCAGCCAGCCTCTCCAGATGCCCAGATACCCTGTACCCAAACAGTCACCCCCGACACTGCAAATCAACTGGAGGTTATTTATAAGGCCTAACACTGTGTCAATAGTTGTTATACTGTGTGGCTTGGAGGAAAATGGTAACGACAGATCTGTACATGTTCACTTGCAGTTGGCCAGTGGCTGAATCTGTGACGCGGGATGCTCAGGTGCAGAAAGCTGCTGACACTGTTAGTTTGGTTAGATGGGGTAATGGCAGGGCGGGGACAGAAAGGGAAAAGTCTCACTGACTGAGACAGCTCCTGAAATATTTACATGGGAAATGACATGATGTCTGGGCTGCTCACATATGCCAGCAAACCAAAGCACAAACACAAAACTAAACAACAATGGATGATGACCTCAGGCTCATTATGTTATCATAGGGCCTTTAGATTTCTGAGAAACAAACACCCTCCATTATACCAAGGCAGGGGCAGGGGCAGAAGCTGAGGCAAGAGAGTCCCGTCCAGAGCCAGCCCCCTGACAGCACAGGGCACAGCTAGCTGGCAGGCAGAGACTGTGAGAGCCCATACTGAGGAAAGCTATTCTTGCTCCGATCTCTTGGTTATTTTTATGTGAGGCATCTGTTATGGGTCACTATGAGTCAACTCAACTGAGAACAGGTTTCTGGGGCAGTGCCAGTGTGAGGGACTCACCGCTCCTCCTTCCTCCCTGGGCTAGCCCTGTAGCTGTCTTCCCATCTTACATCCTTGACGGGGGAGGGGAATGCTGTGTAACTGCAACCAGAGAGGCTGTGCACGCCCTTCCCCAGTGTCCTTGGAGAGACAGCCTCAGCTTTGACAGACAGCTGTTACACACACCCTCCCGGGACATCACAGCAGCTGAGGAAGCCATTTTACCAGTTCCATGCCCTTCAGGATAAGGAGAGGACTAGATACTCCTCTCACCTTTCAGGGGGAAGGAAGCTCTGAGAGAGGTGTCTCGGGAAGCCCACTGTGGACAGATGTATCATGCTGACCACTGCTGACCCCCACCTGTGCCTCAGGGCTGCTCTTTGCACTGATGCACCAGGCAAGGCCATGGGTGTGGGACGGCACAGCGGTCCTTTCTACGTTACTATAACAAAATGCCCAAGACGGGCTATTTAATAAGGAAAAGAGGTTTGTGTAGCTTAGAAGTTTGGAAGCTAAAAGTTCAAGGTCAGGCTCACTGGTTTGGCCTCCTAAGAAGCCAGAAATTGGGCCAGACGGTGGTGGCACACACCTCTAGTTCCAGCACTCTGGGAAGGAGAGGTGGGTGGGTCTCTGTGAGCTCGAAGCCAGCCTGGTCTATAGAGCGAGTTCCAGGACAGCCAAGGCTACACAGGGAAATCTTGTCTCGAAAAATAAACAAACAAACAAAAAAGAGCCAGAGACCTGGGTGTGGTCAGGTTGGCTCTTTTTATAACAATCGTTTCTCAAGAACTACTAAGCGCTCTGATACAGGACACTCAGTGACACAAGGGACCCCCCATCAGGCCTCACCTCACTCACATTACCACACTGTGAACCCAGCTTCCAAGACAGGGGCCCTTGGAAGACACAGCGGCGAAGAATCAGCATCCCCTGATACACAGCAGGCCTGACGGTGGACTTGGGGCTACCAACATGGGAAAGGGGGTGGCACCCGCCAAGCACACACAAGCACACGTCGGGAAGGGAGCCTGGGTTGGGGATGCTGATGCCTCTCCAGTGTCACCTTCCCAGAGCTTCCAGGTGGTGTGGATGCAGGTGGCAGAGCCAGGGTGTGTGTGTGTGTGTGTGTGTGATCTGAGTCAAGAGATTCCTTGAGCAGGGCAGCAGTAAGCCCACCCGAGGGTCCTGGAGCAGAGCTGGGCAGCCCCTGAAGCACCCGGGCATGCCGACCTGTGTGTGGCAAGTCTAATTGGAGCTGAAGGCAGATGGAGCTCTCTGGGAGCCACTTAACCATCCCTCGACCCAGTCGCCCGAGCACAGCAGACATAATGGTGGTGTTGACACATAAAAACGGCAAGCTGTTTTACTAGTGGCTTTTGGAGGCACAATAGCGGCTATTTGGTAAAGTTTCCCCCACAAATTGCAGAAAACAAAGTCCAATAGTGGAATGATGGGACACTAAACCAGCCTGGAAAGTTATCAGGGCCCATTACCATCAAACACTCTGCCAGGAGCCGGGGAGGTGGCTGCCACCAGAGGGACCATAATCGCTGCCTGGGATCCCAACGCCGAACATGATCCCCACTCTGTTGGCATGCGGTGCGCCAGCCCCTGGCCTGTTACTTGCTTGGGGAACATAGATTGCTGGGTTCTTTTTACATTTTAATCTTTACGCAGAGAGACAGAGCTTACCTTTCCATCTGGTACTCTTTCATTCCCACTTTTACAGCCTTCATTACCTAGAGCATGGGCATTAAGCAAAGACATTTGTATTAAGCAGATAAGTAACAGGGCCTCATAAATAATGCATAACACTTTTTCAAAAGCTCCTCTTTAAAGAAAGAAAGAAAAAAAAAAGGAGGGTGATCCACGCACAGTGGTGCAGAAAAGTGACAAATGGGACCTTTTAACAGCTTCAAGACCCACAGAGTGTATTTAAACCATCATGGAGCGCTTTCATTAGGAAGCCAGTAAGGGCCACGCTGCAGCTTGCAGGGGGCCGGCAACCTGAAGACAAAGGATTTGACCAAGATGTTTGGCAAATCCTGAATATTAAGAAAGGGTTTTATTTATTTATCTATTAATTATTGACTTTTGCCTAATTTTTACAAACAGAGAAATTAGCTGGGATGAGAGATTACATGGCCTTTCAACCGTCCTTGTCATCCCTAAGGCTGAGCTGTGATGGTCCCAAGTAGGCAGGCTATCCCAGGGACCTTGAGTGGTTTTGAAATACTGGCTTCCTTTGCACGTGAAGATGTTTTTGGAAAATAGGTGATGAGTAGACTTGGTAAAGCTGCAATACCAGCCCTTGAGAGGTGGAGTAGAAGGGTCGTAACTTTGAGATAGCCTAGGCTACACAGTGAGCTCACGGCCAGCCTGGGATATATAGCAAGACCCTGTCTTCAAAACAAAAAGAAAGAGCTCGATGGTTAAAAAGTACTTGGTACAGCTGGACAGTGGTGGTGCACACCTTTAATCCCAGCACTCGGGAGGCAGAGGCAGAGGCAGGAGGATCTCGGTGAGTTTGAGGACAGCCTGGTCTACGAAGTGAGATCCAGGACAGCGAGGCTTGTTACACAGAGAAATCCTGTCTTGAAAAACTAAACTAAACTAAAATTTATATATATAAAAAAAAGTGCCTGCTGCTCACTCATGAGGACTAGAGCTTGTAACTCAGCGCTCACACTGGGCAGCTCACAACTGTCGGGAACTGCAGCTCCAAAGGATCCATCGCTCTCTTCTGGCCTCCAGAGGCACTACACTCACATGCACATGCACTACACAGACACACACGTGCAAATATATACAGACACACAAGCAAACAAACAATAATCTAAATAAAAATTAAAGGAAAAAAAAAGGATGGTGGTTTGGTGGTCTGAATAAGAATGGCTCCCATAGGCTCATAGATTTGAATGTTTGGTCACCAAGGAGTGGCACTATTTAAAAGGATGAGGAGGTGTGGTCTTGTTGGAGGACGCTCATCGCTGGAGGTTGGCTCTGAGGTTACAGAAGCCCATGCTAAGCTGTCTTTCTGCTGCCTCTGGATGCAGATATAGTACTCTCAACTTTTCCAGCTCCATGTCTGCCTGTGTGCCACCATGCTGCCAGCCCCAATTAAACTCTTTTAATTTAAAAGAGCTACTGTGGTCTTGGTGTCTCTTCACAGCAACAGAACACTAAGGCAGACACAAGATGCTTTAACATGAGCTGGGAAGCGCCAGTGTGCCAGGGAGGAGAGCCCCGCTCTCTTGGAAGCAGGGCTATTTGGTTGGGACAGTCCCTGAGGACTGGGATCATGACCTTCATGGAGGTGGCCCCCCATGGACTGGTGTATTTGAACACTGGGTCCCCCAGGGGCTACAGCCTCTCTTTCCCTCCAGTCTCTCTGGTTCTTGGTGAGCTGTATGCCCCAAG